AATCTACAAAATTGGGAGCTAAATCAATAATTATTCCTTTAAGGCACTAATATTCATAGTTGTTTGTTATGCAGCAATAAAAATTATAAATATATACAAAGTGGTAAAGACCCCAAACAGGTAATTATCTTCAGAATGGAAGAGGTCATCAAGTCATGTGGTGGATAGGAATTTCTTGGAAAGAAAAAGAACATAGATTAGAGCTTGAAGAATGGGTGGAGTGTAAAAAGAGAGATAATTAGGAACTGCACGATAGGGAATATTATGAATAGTGTGACCCAGTTGTTCTTTGATTGCAAGAGCAGAAGAAAACTTTAGCTGAATTAAAAGTAAAGAGGAATGTATTGGAAGGATATGGAAAATAGTTTGGAAAATCAAAGGAGAGACTGAACAAATAGTACCTTCAAAGGGCAGTGCAGTAACAGGACAACTATGAGGCTCTGAGGATTAAAGACTGTTTTCTTATGAACACCATCCATGATGTATAGTACCTCCACCCTGTTCTTCCAAATCAACCCTTGTGTAATTGTCCCAGATTCAAACTCTTGGGGTAGAAGTTCTGACTTGCCCAAGAGGGTCAACCACTCAAATCTTGGCCAAGGGAAAGAAAGGCAACTCAACTAACAGTGCTAGGAGAGGCCTGTGTAATGGAGAGTTAGCTTCAAAGGAAATTTAAGAGATTGTCACCAAAGGAAAGAAGATGAGGTGTTTAGAAGACAATTCAACGAGGATCTACTGTGTATGATAAATTATAGGTTAATAACAGTTAAATCATATAATAATGAAATATTAACTCAATCCTAAAAGGAATGATATAATATCAGCCTTATGTTATAGATATGGATAAGGAGTTCTGTACCCAAGGTCACAGAACTATAGAGTGGCAGAGCTGAGACATAAATTCAGGCTGCCTATCTCCAGAATCTACTATCACAAACCTCAATTCTATGCTGCCTCTCTAATGTGAAAAGTTTGTTCAAGGAAATAAAGTAGACCAGCCAGTCTTGGAAAAAGCTAAATGAGAAAAGAAGAGATATAAATGCAATAAACTATTCCATCATACCACATTAGTCTATTTATGAAAAAATTTTCCAAACCATTATTTCATAAATCAGAAGCAAATCAACAACCTCCATTTTACAAAATCCTGGAAGCCTAAATACACACACACACACACACACACTCTACACATATATACTGCACATAATTGCAAGTTTGTTGTTTGTTCTTTTAAAAATCCACTGTCAGGCCAGGTGTGGTGGCTCACATCTGTAATCCTAGCACTCTGGGAAGTCAAGGCAGGAGGATCACTTGAGCTCTGGAGTTTGCGACAGCCTGAGCAATAGTGAGATCTCGTCTCTACTAAAAATAGAAAAAATCAGCTGGGTGTGGTTGCACATGCGTGTAGTCCAAGCTACTTAGGAGGCTGAGGCAGGAGGATTGTTTGAGCCTAGGAGTCTGAGGTTGCTGTGAGCGAGGCTGATGCCATGGCACTCTAGCCCCAGCGACAGAGAGAGATTCTGTCTCACAAAAAAGAAAAAAAAATGTCTACTGTCATCTCCTTCAAAATCAGAAGAGCTAGTGTTTACCTATTATTTTAAAAAGCTCATATCGTGTTTATTCAAATATGGAACTTTTACAAAATAGGTAAGGTTACTAAAACCATGTCTTTTTATGTACCTCATCACAATTTTGAAAAGAGTTACAAAATTAAAAGATTAGCCAAGCATAACAGGTGATTAGCAGGTTATGTTATAATCAATCAAATACCATCCTATGTTTGTGTTTGCAAACTTAGGCTATTTCACAGTAGACAAAATTGATCAGTCTTGATATAGGCAAATAATACAAAGCATTTAAAAAGGGAGATTTTACCGTGGCCGTGATACCAACACAGTAAGTGATTATGGTAATAATTAGGATTAGTCAATCTAAGATGTATGTCCAAAAATGTAAGGTTATATTAAATAAGAGACTTTTATTGACTTTTACTCCCAAACAGACAAATGTCCAATAGCAAAGCTTATGTAAAAATTAGTTTTCCATTAACCATTATATAGATCAATGATCTATTAAGCCAGTCTTGCTAGCAAATGAGATTTCACTATAATTTGTGACCTGCGTTTTGAACATTTCTATTGCCAAGGTCTAGCTTTGAATAAAGTAGGTATTTTTCACATGGACAACATTGATATGTTTGTTCCTGATTGAAAAGTATAATATTACATCACAATTATTTTGTCCTTTAACTCAAAGACTATTCCAACTTTCTGTATTTTCAATATCTGTACATAATGAATAACTATCTTCAGCTCATTTTATAATGCTTTTGTAGCCAAAAATCTCAGTAGAGACACAGATGATCTTTAGTAAATTTCTACACTTAAGATAAAATATTATAAAGACTTTTGTGTCAAATATAATTCAAAGTTATTTCCATAGCAGTGCAAATCTTTTCATTCCCTTCTTCTTCCACCCACATGCAACATCATGAGTAAAATCAGCAGGAGCCCACAAATAAAAATTGTTAGAGATTACAAGGAAGATGAAGTTTGAATACAAATAGTAGTATTATGTTAAAAGCTTTTTTATTATAAGATTATAGAAAGTTTATATATAAAAATAAATGTCAAGAATGGTTTTTAATACAACCATGATTACTTTCATTTATTTAATCTAATTTTCTTCTTATGTCAAACTTCTTCATTGTGGGAAAAAATATCAGCCCTTCTTAATAAAGGAAGAAAAACCAGATTATATTGAAATAAATATTCAACCAGAGACCATCTAATTGGAGTGTATTTTCTATAATACTTATGAGGTAAATACGGAATTTCCTTTCCATAACTTTAAGCTAAAATTTCTGTCCTGGTATTAAGCCCTACTCTAAGGAACTATGGAAAAACAGAGGTTGAATTACAACTGGGGCTTGAGAAGGCAGAGAAAGGGAAGAGCAAAATTTTGAAATAAATTTTACCAGATAACCAGATATTAGTAAAAAAAAAAAAAAAAGCTAAAATAAAGTCAAGAAAAAGATGATGGAAAGAGGTGAGATAAGTTTGGAAATAAGAGCTCTGTGACATTTGGATAAACACATGTTAAACTGTCTATGAGAAGATTCATAAAGCAACTGAAATAATTAACATATATTAGGGAAATTAAGAATTGTTCCAGCTTTCCCTCCAAAACATGTACATCTATTATGTGTCAATAAAACTTAATTTTTAAAAAGGTCCAAGCTTTAACATTCAGCTTTATGAAATCTTTTGGAAATTATAGGAAAAGGAAGAGATAATAATGATTTATCTCATAAGGAATTCTTACAAAACAGAAATATTTGGACATTTATTTGTAACTCATTAATCAAATATTTAGTGAGGACTATCTATATACCATGTACTGTAGTAAGTATTGAGAGTTTCAAAATGAAAAGTAAATATTAAATTTCTAGCTTTATGATAGTAATAAAACATGTATTGGACCAGTCTTCCAGAAAACAAAAATTATAAATTATGGGGATAATAAAGGCATAGAAGGCCAATCAAAAGCAGACAGGACTTGAAAGAAGGAAAGAAGTCTGATTGTGCTGGGGGTGGGGTGAGGTGGTGATCCAAAGTTAAAGTTCAAATGTAAGTTAATTTGAAAAAATAATGGACAAAATATAAATTTGAAATGGGGTTGGGTGGGGGGTAATCTCACAGATACAAAAAGCTCAGTAAAGCCCAAGGAGAAGACAGGCATTTCATGTAAATTTAAAGTAAGCCACATTGGAGCATAGCTTATTAAATCCACTGAAAACCAGTGATAAAAAAAAAAATATATATTGTAAAAACAGCCAGAGGGGAAAAAAATATCCATTGCATCTAAGGGAAAACAATAGGAATGATGGCTTAATTCTCACTGGAAACAGTAGAAACTGAAATAAATTAGAATAACTTTGTAAAATAACTAGATAGGGGAAGGGATCAAACTAAAATTCTATATTCAGCAAAAATTAAGTAAAAAATGAAAGAAAAAACCAAAAATATTTCTGATAATTAAAACAATCCCAGATAATCACCACCAGACTATGTACAATACACAAGACATGTTAAAAATTAGTGTGTTTAATAATATATATCAAAAGGGAATAATATCAAAAGGGAATTGGATCTATAAGAAAGAATAATAATAACTGGAAATGATAAATGCAATAATATTCCTTTCTCTCCTCTGTCCCTAAAGTTTTAAAGAAACAATTGACTCTTTAAAGCAAAAAGAATGCACTTTGGGGTTTATAACACATACAGAAGTAAATTATATGGCAATGTCATAGAAGTTGTAAGGTGGTTATAAGTGGAATTATAGTGCTTTAAGATTCTTCTATAATATGTGGAATGTTATATCATTAACGTAAGTTAGACTGGATAAGTTAAGAATACATATTATTTTTAATAAGAATACTAAAGCTCTGTCAATAACAACATGCAAAGAGGTAGTTAAATACCAATAAAGTAGATAAAATTTAATACTAAAAATATTTAACATGAAAAGAGAAATAAAAATATCAAGAAGGGTAGGAGCAAACAGACAACAAATAATAAAATGCTGTGTTAAACTTAACCATCTCAGTCACTATATTCATATAAATGGAGTATTTACTGAAATTAAAAGACAGAGACCTTATGAATGAATTGAAAAAATATCCAACTATATATTGTATATGATAAATAGGCTTTTTGTATGAAAGTAAAGTTTAAAGTAAGGGAATGGGAAAATATATTCTATGCAAACACTAAGAATTATTATGAGAGATGCAGCATGATATTTCACAATGATAAAATGGGAAATTTATCAAAAAAATATAACAATATATCTTCTCTCTGGCTGATTTTTTCCATCATTTTCATTTCAAATGTTTATTTTATCATAGTGTTTTAGCAATACAGTATTTCATACATTATTAAAATATACAATTATATGAGTGAAGGAGTATCACTTTTTCTCAAGAAGAAACAGCCCAGGACATGAACCCTTCTAAGACGTAGATGAAGAGAAGTCTAGACTCCGGATGGAGGCAGCTAACTGTAGAAAGAGAAGTAGAAGGGACAATGAAGTAAGAAAACGAGGAAACTAAGTCCACATGATGCACAACACTCAGAGGAACTATCTAAAACATAAGTTAACATCATGCTGCTTCTATGCTCAAAACCCTCCAAAAACTTATGGTTTCAAATCTTGGTATAAAGTCAATATCCTTACATGATGTGGCCTGAAGCAATCTCTCCGACTTCAGCACGCACTACCTTACCCCTTGATCATTCGTGGTGGACACACTGGCCTCCTCACTGTTCCAGGCTATTTGCTTTGTCTAGACTTCTTTCTTACAGATATTTCCATTGTTTAATTACTCACCTACTTAAAGTCTTTCTCAAATGTTACCTTTGGTGAGGCCCAACTTTATCATTTCATTTGAATGTGCAATAACTCTCATCATGCATTCCTTCTTACTTTTATTTTTGTTATTATTGATGCTATTGTTTACAAAACACCATCTTCTAAATATACTACATTTTAATTTACTTATTATGTCATTACTTATTGCCTATCTTTCCTCTCTAGAACATAAGGTAAAGAATAGCAGAATTATTTTGTATCTTTTGTTTGTTGATGTATCTCCAAGCTCCTAGAACAGTGCCTTTCATATAGTAGGTACCTAAAATGTTTTTGAGTAAATGGAGAAAATTTAAAGGAATACTAAAAAAATAACACTTAAGAAAAATTTGGGAACATTTCATATTGATAGAATAGTTATGAAATTGACAACATAAATATAATTTAAAATATTTAAGTGAAATTTTTATCCCATTTTATTTTCAGAGAAAATAATAATAATAAGTTCTAAATGGCTTTAAGGTAGTTATTAGTCTAAAGAAAAATTCTATGCAAGATAATCTCTTAGGATCCCTTGTATTTTTTTTTTTTTTGGTGTCCTCTGAGGAAGAACATTAGATAATAAGTGAATATAGGACCCTTCCCCCTTCCCCAATCAAACAATTGGGAGATTTTAGCCTTCCTGCAGTTAGCTTTGTTATATCTAAAGCATTTGGATTGCTTCCTATTTAAATATATTAAATGCTCACAGCTACTCCTATACTGTTTATGTTATTCAAATTCTCAATGTACAGTGATGTTTCTTTATAGAAACAAACAATTATGGAGATACTATATGTATAATAAGAATGTATTTATTTTATATTGAATACTACATGTCTTATGGTGAGAAAAAAAAAGTTTTTAGCATCAAATAAACCTGAGATTAAATTCAGTTATTTTCTCTACAAGGTATGCAGCCTTGAGCATATTGCTTAACTTGTTTGAAACTTTAGTAGAATAAACTTGATTTGGGATGATGATAACACCTACTAGTTAATTATAAGGATTAAACAAGATAATGTATATACTATACTGTGAGCAAAGATGGTGTCTAGAACAAGTGACAATCCTTTGTACTTAAGGATTTTTTGGCTATACGGGGTCTTCTCTGGTTCCATATGAAATATAGAATTATTTTTCTAGATCTACAAAAAATGATGGTGGTATTTTAATAAGGATTGCATTGAATCTCTAGTATAGACATTTTAACAATGTTGATTCTGCCAATCCATGAGCATAGTATCTTTTTCCATCTGTTTACATCTTCTGCTATTTCCTTTCTTGGTGTTTCATAGTACATTCTGCAGAGGTCTTTCACCTCCTTAGTTAAGTATATTCCTAGGTATGTTATTTTCTTTGTTGCTATTATAAAAGGTATTGAGTCTTTGATTTAGTTCTCAGCTTGACTGTTGTTGGCATTTATGAATGCTACTGATTTCTGTACATTGATTTTGTACCTTAAGACTTGATGAATTTATTTATCAATTCCAGCAGTCTCTTGGCAGAATCTTTGGGGTTTTTTAGATATAAGATCATATCATCAGCAACGAGCAATAGGTTGACCTCTTCTGCACCTATCTAGATACCCTTGATTTCCTTCTTTTGTCTGATTGTTCTGGCTAGGACTTCCAGCACTATGTTGAATAGAAGTGGTGACAGTGAGCAACCTTGTCTAGTTCCAGTTCTAAGAGGGAATGCTTTAAATTATTCCATGTTCAGTATGATATTGACTATGGATTTATCATGTATGGCTTTTATAATTCTGAGATAAGTCCTGTCTAGGCCTATGTGGTAAAGCAGCCTTATCGTAAAATAGTGCTGAATTTTGTCAAATGCTTTTTCTATGTCGATTGAAAGGATCATATGGTCTTTCTTTTTACTTCTATTTATGCAGTGAATTATATTTATAGATTTACATATGTTGAACCATCCATGCATCTCTGGGATGAAGCCAACTTGGTCATGGTGGATTACTTGCTTGTTTTGCTGAGAATTTTTGCATCTATGTTCATAAGAGGTATTGATATGCAGTTTTCCTTTTTTTTTTTTTGAGTCTTTTCCTGGCTTGGTATCAAGGTAATATTGGCTTCATAAAATGTGTTGGGGAGGATTCCTTCCTTCTCAATTTTATGGAATAACTTCTACAGGAAGGTACCAGTTCTTTGTAGGTCTGGTAAAATTTGGGTGTGAAAATCAATTTACCAGACTTCAAGCTAAAATATAAATCTATAGTAACCATAACAGAATGTTACTGGCACAAGAAAAGAGACGTAGACCAATGGATCAGAACAGAAAACCCAGATAGATGTAAAACCATCCTCATATTGCCATTTGATCTTTGACAAAGTATACAGAAATATACACTGGAGAAAAGAATCCCTATTTGATAAATGATGGTGGGAAAATTGGATGTCCACATGTAGAAGACTGAAATGGTATCCACACCTTTCACCATTCACAAAAATCAACTCATGATAGATAATAGACTTAATTCTAAGGCATGACACTATAAGAATTCTACATGGATATGTTGGAAAAACTCTTACAGGCATCATCCTACGCAAAAAAAAAAAAAATTATAAATAAGACCTCCAAAGCAATTACAGCAATGACAAAAATAAATAAATGAGACCTGATTAAATTCAAAATCTTCTGCACAGCCAAGGCAACAATCATTAGAGCAAATAGACAATCAACAGAATGGGAGAAAATATTTGCCTGCTATACATCTGATAAAAGGCTGATAACTAGAATCCAGAAAGAACTCAAGCAAATCATCCATAAGAAATTCAAACAACCCCATTAAAATGTGGGAAAAAGACATGAACAGAAATTGTTCAAAAGAAGATAGACTAAGGAACAAAAAACATATGAAAAAATACTCAACATCTCTAATCATCAGGGAAATGCAAATTAAAGCTACACTGAGATACCACTTAATTCCAATGAAAATGGCTTTTATCAAAGAACTCCAAAACAACAAATGATGGCATGGATGCAGAGAAATAAGAACACTCATACACTGTTGGTGGGATTGGAAACTTGCACAACCTCTACGGAAAGTAATACAAAGATACCTCAAAGAACTAAAGGTAGAATTACCATTTGATCCAGAAATTCCATACAGGGTATTTACCCAAAAGAAAAAAGTCATTCTATAAAAAAGACACTTGTACTCAAATGTTTATAGCAGAACAATTCACAGTTACAAAAATGTGAAAACAACCCAAATGTCCATCAATACATGAGTGGATTAATAAAATGTGGTATATGTTACCAGGGAGTACTACTTAGGCATTAGAAAACATGATGAACTACTACTCTTGTATTAACCTGGATAGAACTAGAGACCATTCTTCTATGTGAAGTATCACAAGAATGGAAAAACAAATACCACATGTACTTATCATTAAATTGGAACTAATCGATCAACACTTATGTGTACATATGGAGATAACATTAATCAGAAATCAAGCAGGTGGGAGGGGGCAGGAAGGGATGGGTACACTGATACCTAATGAATGCAATGCACATTATCTGTGGGATGGGCACATTTATAACTTTGACTCTAATGGTACAAAAGCAATTTCAAAAAGCCACATATTATATGATTCTATTTACATGAAATATTCTGAATAGGTAAATCAGTAGAGAAATAAAGTAGATTATTGGTTGTCTACTGTCTGGGGGAATGAAGAAGGAGGGTGACTGTTAATGGGTAAAGAGTTTCTTTGTGGAATGGTAAAAACAGTCTGCCATTAGATAGTAGTGACGGTTGCACAACCCTGCAAATAGTTTAAAATTACTTAAATTTATACTTAATTACTTAAATTTATACTTAAAAGAAATTTATACTTAAAAAAAGAGATGATTCATAATGTGACTGATCATGACTGACAGTTATGGAATACTTACATTTCAAACACTCTCATAAGTATCTTATGTTTATTATTTCCTTCATTCCACAGTCCAATCTGGCGAGGTAGCCATTACTATTCATATTTTACATGTGAGAAAATCAAGACTCTATGGGGTAATTGGATTGCCTAAAATCACTGGGTTTGGAAGCAGCCAAAGGGAATTTTAACTCAAGCATTTTCTGAAACCAGAGGTAGAAGAATTAACCCACATTTTATACTGTGCTTAGTACTCCACACGGGATTTTGTTGGCTCCCTTTCCCATTTCCCTCAGATTCAAAAAAGACCTGTCTGTAATTCCAGAGAAAATTAAATAAAACAATCTGTCTCTGCTCATTAGTTTTTATTTATTAATATAGTAGATGCTCAGAGAGTTCCTTATTTCTCCATTTTCTTTTGTCATCTTTACAAAACCATTGACTTTATTAATAGCTCCCTTACTTGACGGGGTGGAACTTCTGGTTTCTGAATTCAGTACACACAAGCTCCAAAATCAAGAAATGAAATCTTCCAAAAACTATGTTTGGGGTTGCTGTGTTTATGGCAGCAATCACTGGTGTAAGATGGCATGAAACGGGTGCAAACGTTTATAAAGAGGGAGCCTGAAGTGTATTTCAGAACAAGAAGCAAAGGAATAGACAGAACAAAGGGCCTCTGAAATGCCGAAGCCTTCCTTGCTTGTGTGCTCAAGGAAAATACTGAATAATAACTTGGGGAAACAAACCAACACA